TTATTTAGGAATCGCCGTAAACAGCGCAAACTAAAAGGTTAGAAAACTATTTGATTTTCACATTTCACGTTTCTATCTGATTTTTACTGTTTAAATTTACTATAGATCATCTGATTCCATGAATATCATCATTAGAACAGATTCAAATTTTGAAATGACAAACCCAGTTGGTTTGACTAAAAGCATACCTCTTTCTGCAGAATATACAATAAAATCTATGTCTATGTTCTACTATTCTGCACTTGAATTGGCAATGCTATGTGATTAAGTATAAGGGAAATTTTGCCATCTAAACTAAAATCTTTCTCTATCTCAGCCCTTTAAACCTGCATATGACAGTGGCATTAGCCTACTCCTTTTCGATTTCCAATTGTCCCATTCCAATAAGGGAATATCCAGGTTCACTTATTATGTAAAGGATTGTGGAATAAGACTTTGAAGACTTATGGCGTATGCAGCGCTCTTACCTTGACTAAAGTTGAACTTTGGCTAACACTTTACAAAGTAAGGATTAAGGCTTTCATTTTCTACATTTGATAGTCAAATTTAAGCTTGACTTTCGTAAGGATCGACCGGTGGATACCTAAAGTTCGACTTAAGTCTTAATTTTAGTCAAAGTTTAGATAAAGTACAAGCCCTAAGTCCAAGAGATACTGAAAATAGCAGATAGACATTTGCTCTATGTAACATAATAGGGAGGATTTCTAACTGGTGCACTAAGAAACACAGAGTAATTATGTAAAGGATTGTTGTAGTATTGATTCCAAACCTCTGTTTTCATTTTATTCCTGATATTTCCCAAAGGTCTGTCTAAAAATAAACTCGGCTTTGCTTCAATAAATAAATCATATTAGCTATGTTAAAGTGACAGATTCACTATTTTTCTTTGGGGGGGGGATTTGGGTTTTGTATATAGTACTAAATATGTATTTAAATCACATAATTTCTTCAAAAATGCATCAAACAAATTTTCTTTTTATCACCATAGATGTCTTTTCTATAAGCTTACATGACATAGTATCAAGAAAAGAAGAGTCGTCTAAATGGATTTGAAGGTTCAAATTTGACAGCGAACAGGGAACACTATTACTGATTGGTTTTAGCTAAAAAAAAATCCAGTTTTTGAGATTAAGGTAGGATTTGTAAAAAAGATGGCGAATCTGTCCCTTTTAGAGTTTGAAAGGATGTTATGGTTTGATATATTCAGAGTAATATTGACTGTAAGATTTAATTTTCAAAGGCCATTTTGACAATTACATAACTTTATATAAATTAATGAAAAGAACTAGCTTTATTCTTTTTTGATAGGTTTAATTTTAGCTTGGCTTTGGTAAATTAACAGAAATAGATATGTCGACTCTCTGAAAGAGATACTGGGTTCATAAACCTAAGCACCAAAATAACCATGTGTAAAATCCGAAATCATCTTACCAAATGCTAATATCAAAAAAACCTCATATTGTGTGTGGACACTCTAAAATAGGAATTTTGGAAGCATTATGTTTATGTCCTTTTAAAAAAAAAAAGAGTTTGATTTTCACCTTCAAGGAGTAAAACATATTTTGAGCCATTTAATCCTTGAAATTTCTATGAGGCTTAATAAATTACTCACTAACCATTAAAATAATGTTTAAAGCTGTTTTCTTGATAACATTTCCTTAATGCACACTGCATAGCATTGTCTTCATTAGTCTCACTCTGGAACAGAAAACTAGAACTAAAACTTTCATATGATTAGCTCAGTTAAGTACTGAAGAGTATTTTTGTGAACTGAAATCATAACATGTTGTTATCTAATACACTTCATATTTGGTATTTTCCTTAAGTAAAATTAAATTTAAAACCAGTCTGCTGAACAGAAATCTTAGAGACTTAGAACTCAGACAAAGGAGAAGTCCAAACAATAATAATTCAAAAACAGTTATTAAATGTTGTAATCTAATCTATCTGGCATTTCTCCTTTAATAGAGAGTGTGAGAACATTTAAATTTAAAACTGTTTGGTGAACAATAATCTTAAAGAGTTAAAATATCAGTGTGAACACTTTTCAAATTGAAGTTTGTCACTTTGTGGTGATATTTTTGTTTGAGCTATATTTACCTTTAACACTGTAAGAAACAACAGGACTGTTAGGATGTATGAGATGGACACCATTTTGAAAATCATTTTTTAATTTTGGATAGTTTTGAAAGGTAAATGTTATGATAAATTTAGTTGTTCACATGTGATAATGACATTGACAGTGTAGGTGGTTGAATACAAGTAATGCAATGCCAATCAGTGGGCAATGATTGAAATCTTGCTATGCCAGCATAAACTTAGTCTTTTTTTATTTCAATCTTTTTGTGGATCTTTAAAGTGATACTAAGTCTGAGAATGAACATAAAATTTCTCGAAATGGTAAATATGAGTATATATTCTTCAGTTAGCTTACCTGGTGTCATAAAGTTACAAAAGAATCCCTGTAAAATCTGAAAATTGGAAAATTCATAAAACTAAGTAATTATTGAATAATGCTTTATGTTGATATTAAGCGTTTTTCAATAGTTAATTGCATATTTATGGATAATTACTAAGTTTTTTGGATTTATCGGATTATATGTTATTTATGACACCAGGTATATCGACTGGCTCTTATTGGCCAAGTTTAAAATTATTAAATTTTATGTTAATTCTAAGATGTAGTATCGCTTTAATTTGCACAGTTTAAAAGATGATAACTGACATAGGAAACAGAGTGGAAAATTATGAAGGTACTATCTTAGCCTAGCTATGCCTGTATCAAAATCAGATAAATGAATTAATAGATAGATATAAGTTTATAATATATAAGAGCTATTGTTATTTATGGTAGATAAGGTTAGAATATAAACATTATAAATATTCAATTGACCTACTCAATGATTGAATATATAACTTGTGACATTGCCAGGTGCTTAAATTCTGTTTATATTGTTATGTTTCTTGGTACTGAATAGGAAGAACAGGTTTGAGATAGTCAATTGTGCTTAGGGAATCCTGTAAGTGAATTGTTCCAAGGTTGTATTAAAAGCTGAAATTTGGTAACTTGTGTTATGGATGAAAAATGTTCTAAAGCTATTTGAAAATTTTTCCGTGGCTAGAATGGAATTGTTCTGTGGCTATTTAGGAAGTTTCTGTGACTTGATGAAAATAAGGAAATTGTTTCTGAAAATTTTTCCTGTGAATAGAAAGAAATTGCTCTGTAATGTGTTGTCTTAAGACTGTTTCCAAATATCTAAGGATATCTAAATTAATAGTCTCAAACTTGATCAGTGTATATATTCATCAGTTGGACTAACCTAGTGCTATGAATAAAGAATAGAATCTCCATATAAGATGATAGATCAATTGAACTAAATAATTGATGAAACAGGCTTCTAAGCATGTTTTAAAATTACTTATTGTCTGAGCAAAGTAAAAAGTTTTTTGAATTTTTTCCATTTTTTTTATGAGAATTTATGAGAATACCAACCTCAAAATAGTACTGTTAGCCTTAGAATGTGTTTGCGTTGATTATAATTTTTTGTAAGTTTATATTGAAAAGAAACGCATTTTCCTAGAAATTTCAAACCAAAAGAGTCACAAATTTTGGCTGAAAATAGGCCTCTATAAAAACAAATTTTGATGATAGGTGTACTCATGCTTAAGACGTTCTAAGAAGAGGCTGCTATTCCAAACATCATAAAATAATGGACAAAATTAAAAAAAAACTTTTACTAGCTCAGACAATAATGAATTATTACTTGGTTTTATGGATTTATTAGATTATAGAGGGATTCTGTTTATGACATCAGGAAAGTCCACTGTTGAATAAAGGCTCATTTTAACCAAGTGTAAAAATTTCAATTGTTTGGTCATCCTAAAAGGTAGTATGCCTTTTAGAGAGTTAGTTTGCTGAATGGAGTGAATGGATGCATGCACTCAGTTACTCTGATCAACTAATTGTTGATATCTATTTGTTTAGGATATAGAATATCCCAATTAATTTTGTACAGGTGGGCCTATATTTTTAACACCTTGAAGAATCAGACTAAAATTATTCAATTTATTTCTGGAATTTGTTGCCTAGTAACATATTAATCAGATTTTTTGATACAGTTATTTCATTGGTTCCAGTCTTGAATTTCTTTGTAAAAATCTGATATTAATCAATTTTCAAATATATTTTAATGGAGTTCCTCGTAAAAAGTTTTTGAAATTTAGGTATTGCAAATAGATTACTTTCAAAGAAATCTGAATTGATTGTAGAAATTCAAAGTATTTTTTTGATTTATTTTTGTATTTGAAAGTATTTTATTTCACTTTGATCTAGTTGTGAAGAAGGTTTGAATATGTTTTTAGAGACTTTTTTGTGTGTTTTTTATGATGTAATTGACTGGAGGTCTTTTCATGCTACAGACTCAGTCTTCATCGGGACAACAAGTTTTGGATAAAGGGTTCACTTATTATTATTACCCTATGGCATTTGAGCAAAGTAAAGCAACTAATTGGGCAAGAGTGAAAATTCTACAACAAGAATATTTTATAGAACAAAGACTTTTGACTTTCATCTGATTGACTAGAACTCATCTAAATGTGATTTCGAATATCATTATATTATATTTGCCAGTCATGTCTGTTTGGAATGTGAAACTGACTGACTGAGACTGACTGTGATCAACACTTTAGCTATGATAAACATGACGCTTATTATGTGCTCCTTTATCATTTCAGTGTCGCCTCCTCCACAGCCAGCAAGAAGTGGTATCCCACGATCCCCTGAAGCAACAGTCAAACTACATTACGTCCCTGAAGAAGATTCAAGACTGAAGGAAGATGTTGCGATAGGTGGCGTTTACTACCCAGATTCACCTCAATCCCCATCAGAGCCTCAATATGATATTGTGGGATCTCCGATACGCAAGGGAGATAACTTTCTTCTGAAATATCAGATAAAGGGAGATTATTTAGAAAGGCAGGAAGCAAACCAAGGTAGTTCCAGTTCCAGTGAAACTCAGCCTACCCCAGATTCGGTGCAATCCTTCAATGAGTTAAGACTTGAGAAATCAGAGACTTCTGATACTTCAGAATCAAAGGGGGACTACTCTTCTCAGGATAAATCTAAGAGTGATAACTCTGTGCCTACTAGCCCTGAAATATATAGTGATAGCAGTTGTACATCTCCAAAAAAGGAGATCACTATATCAGAGAATGCTGTTTCTAGCGTAAATTCATCACCAAAAAAGGAAACTGCCAGTGAGGTGGGCTCACCAAAAAGGGCCACAGGCGAGGTAAAAAGTGACTATAGTGACGTGATAGGATCACCTAAAAAAGAGATTTCATACTCTCCAAAGCATAGTGACCACAGTGCTGATTATTCAGAAAGCACTGACAAAGGAAGTGGTGGATATCCTTCTCCAAAACGCAGACCGGAAAAAGGTGATTATTATTCAGATAATTCAAGCAGAAGTAGCAGCAGTGGGAACCCTTCTCCAAAACGTGTAGTTCGTTACCGTGGTTACCAGGGAGAGAACTCTAGTGGTGAAAGTCAAGTTTATGAGGTGGTGCAACACATTCCTACATATCAGCCAGTGGAAGTCATGAGTGACGATCCTGAACAGAAATATGATGTCCGATATGGAGAATGTCCTCGATCTCCGTCTGCAAGATCTGATCCTGGGGTATTGGAAGACACACCTGCTAAACCTCACAGAATTCGTTATGGACCTGGTAGACGCCAAGTTCCACGTAGACACACTCTTGGTGCTGATTTGATGACTGGTTCTGATTATGAAGTAAGATTTTCTATTTTTAAATATTTAATTCCATTCAACATACAAATTTGATCAATTGATCAATTTTTTACCCATAAATTTAATTCTATTGAAACATTCTTCTGTTTACACATGACATAAACTATCATACATACAACTTTTTATATTTCATCTAATTCCATCATTCATCTACATACTTATAATTACAATATCACATACAGAATTTCTATTCATTTTATCCAAATCAGTGTGAGAGAAAATAACTTTAACCATACCCCATTAATCTCAGAAGTAGCATACATTATAAGCTCAATGATTAAAGGGAAACAACTGCTATAGTCAACTTTCAGACAACAAATACATCTTTGTAACAAAAAAAAGAAAAAAAAAAAGTTAATAAACTTATAAAGAATTCATGAGAATTTCTTCTTAAAAAGTATCTTAATTGTAAGTATTCTTCTGGTCATATTTCTGATCAGAAAAGTGGGAAAAAGAAGCCAAACTACTATAAAATTCATAATAATGATGGAAAATTATTGTCAATCTTCTGAAGATGACAGTATTCTGAAATGACTGGTTAATGAGGTATAACCTACTTATTCTAGCCAATATCCGCCCTGTGGTCATTTCAGGTCATTTTGTGACAGATTAATCAAAATTCTTAATAGATGTTGTTTTATGTATTCCTCTATGATTTTATTTTGCTGTGAGACAAATAGAAATGGAATGAAGCTTTATGTTCTACTTCTCTGCTTCTATATTCTTTTCAAAATGAGGGAAATTTTCACAAGAACATCTGCACTTTTTATACGCCCACATCTCTCTATATGGACGTATATTATCGGCACGCCTGTCCGTCCGACAGTCCGTCGTCCGTCAACATTTGCTTGTAAACGCTCTAAAAACTAGAGTTTTTGATGGAATCAAATGAAATTCGGTATGTGTATACATATTCATAAAATGAAGATCACGAATTTGAGCTATTTTCGACCTTTAGAAGCAGTGTTATTGCCCTTGCCCCAAAATTTTGAATATGCTATTGCTCTCTTAGTTTTCAACCGATTTTGATGAAACTTAAAATGGCTGTGGTCCAATATCTTTATATTTCTAATATCCTGCTTCTCTTGTATTGTTAGGACTAGCAGAAAGCTGTTGTGCAATGAGGTAAAATTTAGCAGGGTAGTCACGCCAACCTACTTCTTTCCTCATCTTTAACATATAGCCTGCAATAGCAGTATCTATTAATATTTGCTGGTTTTGATATTGCCTGTATTCAATAAGATGAACTATCAGTATTTTGAATTGAAATTACATTTTATTGATGATAATTTCAAAATGAGAATATCTGCAGAACATCAAATCTATTACATAAAAATTGTGGTCAAGAAAATATAAATTGTGATTCCGCTTGATACATTGAACAGGATGCTAAGATAAACAGAAAATCACCAGTTGGATTTCAGCCTAAAGTTCATTCCAAGTCATTAATCGTGTTCTATCATGTGAAGATGGCAGTTCCATTCTCGAAGACCACTGTATCTTGTCTTCAGGCTACAGTGGCGTTATTTGTAAAGCCAAATCTATCGAGTTATTGATTTTACACAAACGGCCATTTGAAAGTGACCAGTTATAATGGAGAGAGGTGGAACTAGGTCAAGCAAATTTACTGAGATTCTTCTCATATAATGGATTCCTATTCTGACCAAATTAAGATTTGACTTTTTTGTCTTAAAACTCTGGTTTTGAAGGTTGTTACTGACATAAACAATATTTACAACATTCTTGTATTTGATCAATCCGTGTGGTCAGTGAGAGATCACAGACCTGTCCACTTGAATCTCTGATTAACTTATCATAGAGGGAGCCACTTGACTTTGATGGAGTGGACAGTCCACAGTCGATAATAGCCAGTTCCATTTTCGACAGTTGATGGATGATGTCCGCCATTTTATCTCTCAATTTGATGGAATATTTTATCTGCAATTATTTTGAATCAGAAATGGAATCATTAATTAACCTTTGACCTTTGTGCCAAAATGACCTCAAGTTCCGACCCTGAGAAAATTTAGTGCTTTGACTAAAGGAATATGTAGTGTCTTCATGTTTAAAAACAATACAAAATTTGCTTTACTTCCTTCTAGAAAAATACTAAGCCAAGCACTTTTTTGAATTAAAATAGGCAGATATGACTGGCATATACAACCCTCATCAACAATCCTGATATTTCAACATCACAAAAAGTGATCATATTATAATTTCCGCTTTTCACATTACTACAATTTCTTGTTCCTATCTGCTGTTTCCTTTCATTGACTAGAGCTTTAATTCCAAACATCATTGTAAAGTCTTTGTTGGAATTTCTCTGAATCTGAAAATTGCTTGAGGCGTCTTGTGTCATAATGTCTTGTACCATAACAATTATCATCCTTCTTAGAATCATTAGTTTTAAATATTCATATTTATTAACACCAGAAATGTTAATTGAAAACTTAGAAAGTGACATGTCAGTACAATAATTAAAATTTTATGCTAATTACTTTCATACCAGTTTTGAAATTTGAACCATTCACAAAAGAAAAATGGTTTTTTTGAGACCTAAAAGGCAGTGAAATATTTTACCAGATAACAAGCACCAATCAAACATCACTGGCAAATACAACCAAAAAATATATTGGAAGTTTAGTAAAGATTTTCAAAAACTCTCAGACATTTCTGATGCTCAATTGGTAAATACAGCCAAATCAACAGCCCTGATTATTAATGAGATAGAATTAGGGAGAAAAAGTAACGATCTGTAAGCAATTAACATTAATTAGTAAACATTGTATTAAGTTGTTGATTATTCTGGGTGGGCTGAGAGATTTAATTGTGCTGAACAAATGATAACTGCTCAAGGTGCCATCAGTATTAATATTTAATGAGCCATTAGTTTTCTCTGGGATGGTTGTAACTTTCTCTCTCAGTCTTGTAGTAGACAAGAAAGAAAGATTAAGGCATTGACTTACAAAAGAATAACAACTTAAAATCTTGTGGATCCTGTCTACCAGCTGGTTTATAGTCAAACGTCTTGGTATTGATCCATGCAACAATATACATTCAGATTTACAGCTTGGTAGACTGGAATAAATTAACAATAATTAACCTGGATAACAACTTAGGTTCTTGTGGATCCTGTCTATCAGCTAGCTGGTCCCCAAACCTCTTGACATAGATTATATGTACCCATTTCAAGCTTTCTCATATGACTTGCTTAAATTTGACTTGATTATGGTTGCTTGTACAGTTAAATATGGAAATCACAGACTGATGCTTATTGTCATTGTAATATTTCCATCATTGCAGACTGCAGAGTTTTACCTGTCTTCATTTTTTCAATCAGAATCAGAAAGTAACTAACCATTATGAAAAGGGAGAAAGGTTTAATGCAATTTTATTTCACTTTTTATTTGGTTTGGTTTAACAGTGTATGACAGAAGACCCTCCTTCTTGCTTTAATGTGAGAAATTTGATTCCTAGTCTTTTGTTCTATTTAATTCCACTCGTATTGATTGCAACACGTCAGAAAAAATCCTCTTTAATGCCACTTGTTCTTGGATAAAAGGAATGAATCATGGAGGACTGGAACAATATTGGAATTTCTATGACTTTTTGACCTTGACCTCTGTTTTGCTGTCTCTAGGGCCACATTTTCATTTATTTTTTCTGCTATTGATGGATGAGTGTTTGAATATGTTAAAATCTAATGGTTTTCTTGACTTTCATTAAGACAAAGTGTGAATTTTGTTTTAAAGCCAATAAAAGTACCTCTGTGAAGTGTTAATTTGATTTGATTGAAAAAAGATAATGAAATGAATATTTTTCTGTAAAATTATGCTCATTTTACATAATTTTTGCTCTCAAAACAATGTTAAAAGGCTATAGTTATCTAATTATTTGTTTTACCAGCTGATACAGGTCAATTACAGCTATCTGTTAGTAATGAAAATATTAACTTTACCAGCTGATACAGCTCAATTACAGCTTTCTGTATATGTTTACTTTGCAAGAGCTCAATTTCAGGTATATGTATAGTTTTAAAAATATTGACTGTACCATCTGATACAGCTCAATTACAGCTATCTGTTAAGTCATGAAAATATTTACTTTACCAGCTAAGAGAGCTCAATTTCAGGTTTCTGTTAAGTCAAGAAAATATTTACTTTACCGGCAAGGGTCAAGTTCAGCTATCTGTATATTTGTCAAATTATTGACAAATTACAGCTTTCTGTTAAGTCATGAACATGTTTACTTTACCAGCTAAGAGAGCTCAATTTCAGCTTTCTGTTAATTCACTTGGCTTACAAAGACTAAGAGAGGAATGCTTTTTTGTGCAAGTTGACAATAGATATTTCATGCTTTGTAAGAAACTTTAGTTTAACTACAGTTTAATGCAAAATAGTTAACTGCAAATGAAACTCTTTTTTGCTAATTTCAGCTCTTGGCTCTGGAAAAACTGATTTTTCAGCTTTGAACTTTTAATACAGCTTTTTGCTGCAAACTCTTATTGTTATCAAAAAGACAGATCTTGCCAACAGATTTCCAGACTTAAAGCACAAGTATATTTCTTTAAATGTAAGGTGGAAAGACAATGATAGTAATTTCAGACTGATGTGGAAAATTAAATCATTGCAGTTCAATAGTTTTACAATCTCATGTACTCTATTTTACAGACTGGGCTA